CTTGGAATCTTGGAGCTCTACATGGAGGCCAGGGCCCATCCAGGGGCCAGCCCGGTGGAGCCTCATTCATTGGATGTGAGATGTACAATCATAAGCTGGTAGTATCAATCGTGCTACAGGTATGCGCGTATGTGTAAATATGTATGTGTATGATTGTTCGATGTATGTGTATTGATATGCAGTAATGGGTGTAGGAAATGCGGACATACACGAATACATATATATATATATACATACATACATACATACATACATACATACATACATACATACATACATACATGCATGCATACACATATACATATACATATACACATACACATACACATACACATACACATACACATACTCATACACATACACATACACATACACCTACACCTACACCTACGCATACATGAATACGTATGGACTTACTTACTTACTTACATACATGCATGCGTGCATGCATGTATGCGTGAAGAAATAAATACATACATACACATGTATAGATACATACATAGGTATACAAATATCTATAGACATATGTGTGTATGCAATTATCTGAAGGGCGTCGCCCTCAGCCGCCGGCCCCTATTAATGGTGCAGGCAGCTGCGCGGGCAGCGTCGTGGGTGCTGCTCGTGGCAGTCTTCTCGGCAGGGTGTGCGGGTCATTATTGGAGCTTCTTGGAAGCCGTTTTGAAGCCTCTTCGGGCATATTTTGGGTCTCTCGGGGGTCTCCTTGGGGCCTCTTGGGGGCCTCTTGGGGGCCTCTTGGGGCCTCTTGGGACCTTCTTGGGGCCTCCTGGGGCCCTCTCGGGGTGGAAAGGTCGAATTTGGGCCTCTCTTGGGACCGTCTTAGGGCCCTTTTGGGCCAAGGCGCCGTCTTGGAGCCCTCTTCGGCCGTTTTGGGGCCGTCTTGGGTGCCGCTTGCGCCGTCATGGGAGCTTCTTGGGAACCTCTTGGTCCGTCTCAGAACGTCGGAAAGCCAAAAAGGCGAGAACGCCAAACACCTTCAAAAACGGAAGGGAAATCGTTGAAGTCTGCTGCGTGAGACCCTCGTGGGAAGCCTCTTGGAGGCCTCTGGGGCCGTCTTGGGAGCATCTTGGGCCGTCTTGGTGCCATCGTGGGACATCTTGGGGCCATCTGGGTAGTCTTTTGGGCTCCTGAGGCTCTCTTCAGAGCCTCTTCGGGCAATCTTGGAGGCCTCTCGCTCGGGCCGTTCGGGCCGCGCGGTGGCGTCACCATGAGAATCCTGGGGTGGCCGGGAGCAGCCAGGATTTGAGGTTCCCCCCCCCCCGTTGCCTGTTTGGTGGCGCGGCGGGGCCCCCTGGCAGACAGTAGACAGGAGGCAGGAAGCAGGACTGGAGAGACAAAAGGCCAGACAGCTAATGACAACACATAACACATGACAGCTGACCACACACACCTTCGCAGCCTTGCGCCCCCTGAGGGGGCTGGCGGACATATATATATATATATATATATATATATATACACACATACACACACATACCCGTATCCATTTTGGCTCAAGTGCTAAGTGCTAAGTGCAACTTGAGGCAATTGTAAGTCTATACCAGCTTCCCGCGACACCGCGCTCTGATTACGTGCCTATTGTCTTGCATTCTCGGCGGGGGCCGAAGATGTCTCAATGGCGCAAATGGTCAGCAGTTCTTCGCAACAATCTTCAACCTCACCGTCGCCCAGCACGAACGAGTGGCGGCGCGACCCGGCGGGTCATTGGCACTTCGTGGGCTACCTCAAGGGGACTGGCACTCAGCCAGATGCCGCGACGCCCCGGATCTGGACGTGCACGATGTGCCAGAGTTCCAACTGGCACCCGAAGGTCAAGTGCTCGACGTGCGGGCTCAAGCGGACGTACGCGGCGGTGGCTGGGACGCCCTCGAGCACGCTGGCTCCGCCTACGGGCTCTGCCAACCCCCCGCCCAAGAGTGGACACCCTGGGAACCCTGTCCAGCAGCAGTTGGCGGCGGTTGCCGAGTGCCTGTCTGCAGCCACCGGCACCTCGGCGATCAAGCCGCCTCCGCCTGCACCCGCGGCCGCCACGCAGCAGCAGGCACCCCCGACGCCCTGAGCCCCGCCCACTGCGGAGCAGACCGGGAGCGTCGGACCTACCAAGGCTTCCGTGGTCGCCACGATCAAGGAGCTCGAGATGGCCATCGCTGCGTTGACTACCCCGTCGACGGCTGCGCTCAAAGCCTCCCTCACCGAGCAGCTCGAGCAGAAGCGCCGCGAGCTGCAGAACTTCAAGCCTGTGGGGCAGAAGCTGGACTCTCTGCGCGCAGCCCTGGAGCGTTCGCGGAAGCGCAAGGCCCAGGCCGCCGAGGCCTTGGCTCTGGCAGAGCAGACAATGCGACCTGCCACGGAGGAGGAGGAGCGTTTGGACAAGTGACAAGGAGCTCACCTTGCTCGAGTCCTCCCTGGCCAAGGACCCCCCCCAGCAGCCTCCTACCATGAGCGCCCTGCGCGATCAGCTCTCGGCGGCTGTGTGGGAGCTCAAGCAGTTCGACGACATCAGCCCCGAGGTCATCAGCGACGCCGAGACCAAGACAGACAACTTGCTGAAGAGCTTCGAGATGACGATCCGGGCGGCTCAGCAGGCCCAGGAGGTGGTCCACTGGCGCTTGCGCGGCAAGCGCCCTCCCCCCGAGCCCGAGACCGAAGTTTTCCACAGGATCACGGGCAAGCAGAAAGTGCCATCTCATTTGACGATTTTTTTCGGGGCTCCGGTGAAGAAGCCGCCGGATGGCGTGTGCAAGCCTTCAGTGGGTGCGCATGCTCCTTCGGCCAAGAGCGCGTACCAGCCGTACGCGTAGATCACTCTCCGGAGCACCTCCTCGACGAACGCGCCGTGGAGATGTGCGCCGCAGCTAGGTGGCCGGAGCTGCTCGCAGCAGCAACGGTACCTCATATACACGACTATTCGACACCAGCCCCGACGCTGACGACGTTACGGCAGCTCGGCGCTGATGCTGGCACGACGCTAGCTCTGTCGCCGCCGGCTCGCCTTGACGCCGGCAGTGAGCTGACACTGACGCCGCCGCCGTTCGGATTCGGCGCTGGCAACAGTGCGACGCCGACACCGCCGCTGGCGTCATTACGACAGCGCGGCGCCGACGCCGTTACGACACTGACGCCGCCGCCGCCGTTGCAACAGTTCGGCGCCGGCGACGGAACCATGCTGAACCTGGCGACGTCACGACCGACTGACGTCGACCATGACACGACGCCGTCACCGCCGGCGACGCTACGCCAGTGCAAACGCCGACGCCGACGCCGACGCCGTTACGACACTGACACCGCCTCCGACGCCGACGCCGACGCCGTTACGACACTGACCGCCGCCGACGCCGACGCTGACGCCGACGCCGTTACTACACTGACCGACGCCGACGCCGACGCCGACGCCGACGCTGACACCGCCGCCGCCGTTACGACAGCGCCACTGCCGACGCCAGTAGGCATGCAGGCGTCCAGAGGTCGCCCGACGGCGCACGGCCGACGCAAAGCGGCCCGCTCTGCCGCGTGGAGACCACGTGGCCCATCGCTGAATGGGCCATCCCGCACCGAGATGGCGATGCAGCGTGCTGGTGCTGCGCCTCTTCCTCGCGGGGTCCCTGGCAGGACTGCCTCAACTGGTCGGCCCACCGTGAACCAAACCGATCTGACCGTCACCATCGCCTCTGCTAACGTCCAGACGTTGCTCCCGCACCAGGAGGGGCGCGCGTACTCCCACAACTCGATAAATCCGCTTTTGAGCAAGGTGGAGGCCCTTGAGACCCAGTTCATGCACGCTCAACTTGACATCATAGGCGCGCAAGAGGGGCGGGCTCGAACAGAGGGGTCGCAGACAGGAGTATACTACAAGCGCCTCATCGGAGCTGCAACGCCAGAGGGCGCTCAAGGAGTTCAGCTGTGGGTCCGCTTGGGCGCCCACGTGCAGGTGCTTCACTGGCAGAACGTCTCACCTCGGATGATGTTTGCGTCGCTGCAGCTCCGGAACGGGGCTCTCCTTGTAGTTGTAGTCGCGCATGCGCCGCATATGGGATGGTCGGAGGAGGCCCGCCATGACTTTTCGCACCTACTGAGCGAGACCATGTCTACAGTACGTGCCAAATTTCACACAGCCCATATCCGGATCGCTATCGATGCCAACGGGCGCACGGGGTCCACAGCCCCCCAGTATATTGGCACTGTGGACGCCGAGGTGGAGAATAACAGCGGGGCCTTGTTGCGACGTTTCGCTGGCGAGGAGCACCTGTGCACCCTGCGAAATGCTTAAGAAATCATGGGTTAAGAAATTCATAGTCTCAGAAATTGAATGTAACCCAGAATTTCTATCAAAATCTTGGAATTTACATTGAAAAATTAAGAGTAATCGAGACTCTGGACGAAAACTTAGGTTTTCTTAAGCATCGCCTAAGGTGTATGCCGTCAACACGTTCTGGCCAGCTTGGACTACTTGGTGTTCTACTCGTGGGCACCGCCGTCGCATCGACTACATCTTGGCCGACTCCAAGGACCTCGTGACGCAGTGCCGGGTTGCGCCTGACATCGATTTGACTTTCAACGAATATGAAGATCATCGGCCCATCATTGTCACCGAGCGTATCCCGGCAGCGGCCCACCAGGGCTGCAGCCAGCAGCCGGCGATGTTCAAGGTGAACAAGACGGCGCTGGGGCGTCCCCAGCTCTGCGACTTGTTCCAGCAGCGCGTCTGGGAGTACCAGTGCCCTGCCAATGCCACAATGGACGAGTGGTTGGAATCCTTGAACTCTCACGTTCGACAGTGTGCTCGGGAAGTGTTTGGCCCTCCAGAGGACGCCCCCAGGCAGGCGTGGATTTCTGCTACGACGTGGGAGATCATACGGCTGATCGCCCCTGCCCGGCGGGCCATGCATGAAGTGCGCCGCGGCGCGTTCCCCGCGGCCGTCCGCGGGGCTTTCCGGGTGCGGCAGGCAGCTTATATGAAGGCTCGTGCGCGCCCCCCGCCGAGCGTGAAGTTCACCATGTGGGTTGTTGTTGGCGACGCGCTTGACAACATCACTATCTGCAACGAGGCCCGGTGGCGCGCGGCAGCGTGGCGCAGAGGGATCAGGCGACTCCAGAACTGGGCCCGACCGTCGCTTGCTGCCGACCGTGCTGCTTTCCTCCAGGCGTTAGCCGGAAGAGCCCAGCACGCCATGCTCACGTCAGACATGCGCACTGGCTATGCCGTTGCTCGGGCCCCCGGTGCGAAGAAGAGTGCGCCAACTTCTTCGGTGAGGCGCAAAGACGGGGCTCTAACCACGTCCACCCGCGAGGCCACGGAGCGCTGGGAGGAGCACTACTCGGAGGTATATCGAGGGCAGGCCCTCGAAGACAGCGCCAACAGTTACCCTCCAGATGTGTGCGACACCAAAGCTGTGGCCGATTATGGCCCTGAGTCGACGCGCGTAGCGTTCGGCAGGCTTGGCCGCAACAAAGGTGTCGGGCCTGATCAGATCCCTGGGGAACTCCTTGCTGCCGGAGGCTGTGCCACTGCGTCCAAGTATGGGGACATCAACGCGGCCGTAGCATCCTCCACACGCCGGCCCTCGCAGTGGCAGGGCGGGGAGATTGTCAGCGCTTGGAAGAAGAAAGGCAGCGCGCACGAGTGTGATGACCACCGCGGACTCCTCCTATCAGATCATGCTGGCAAAGCGCTGACTGGCATGCTCAAGCGGTCGATTGAGGACGTGTACACTGCCAAGATGCCCATCAACCAGCACGGGGCTGTGGCCGGCAGGGGCACCGACTTCGCATCGCAAATCGTTGCCACGATGGCCGACATCGCCTCGATGATGGGCTGGAGCATCTTTATTCTGTACTTGGATCTTGTCACAGCGTTCGACAGAGTGATCCGTCAGCTAGTGATGGGATGGGGGCAAATACCTTGTGACTGGCAGTTCGACTTCCTCCGCGATCTGGGTGTCTCTGAGGAGTCGGCAGCATGGATCGCCGAGTACTTGACCGAGCGCGGCCCTCTTCTCGAGCAATGGGGGGTCCTCTGCGACGCCCGCGACATGATCCGGACGCTGCACGAAGGCGCCTGGCACAGCGTACGCGGTGGCACGCGGCGCTTTTCTTCACACACCGGGGGTCGCCAGGGGTGCCGCCTAGGCGCCGTGGTCTTCAATAGTACATACAGCATAGCATTGGACGCGCTGCATTGGCGTCTCCAGCGCGCCGGAGTTGCGCTAAACGTGCACACTCCTGAGGGCGCATTTTGGAATCGCCCCGCTCCCGGCAATCCTGCCTCCCAGGCCGCGCTGGACGTCACGTTTGTTGATGACGAGGCAATTTTCCTCGTGGCGTTGTCGGTGACCGCCATGATGACGAGCATCCACATCGTTCTCGACACGCTTACCTCGGTATTCAGATCTTGCCACCTAGAGCTGAATTTGGGCCCCGGCAAGTCCGAGTGCGTTCTTCGTCTCCGGGGGACTGGAGCCGCTACCGCGCTCGAGAAATGGCGGCAGCCGGACGAGAGTTTGGGCATACCGCTACAACAGTACGGGCACGACGGACTGCTCCGCATTGTGCCTTGGTACAAACACCTTGGCTCTACCCTCGACAGCCTTGGCATGCACGTGGGCAACGTCTTACATCACATCAAGAGCGCTATGGGTGCTTACGCCCCCTTGGCCATGAAGTTGTACGGGTCTACGCTCATTGCCGATACGTTCCGCGTTATGTTCTTTCGGAGCCTGGTGGTTAGCCGTTTGATCTTCAACCTCCATATCTTCGTAGTGAAGCCCAAGGAAATCAGACGGCTGAACCATGTGTACATGCGCGGTCTTCGCCGCATTCACGGGGACCCCAGATTCTCAGCTAACACGCACTACCGCGACGCGGAGCTGAGAGAGAGGATGAGCATGCCTTCCATCGACTGCGTGCTAAGCGTTGCGCGATGGCGGTACGTGGGCCGCGTTGTCCGGAACCGTCCCCTTACGCTTATCAGCTTGCTCCATTTCCGCAAGGGGGAGCAATGCCTTCCCTGGGTGCGAGCGCTGCAGCACGACGCTACGTTTCTGCAGGCTCGAGGCTTTTTCTCGGACTTGCCTTCTTTCGACACGCACCCGCCGACTTGGCAGGAGGCCATGCTCGATGAGCGAGGGTGGAGCAGGCGAGTAGATGCAATATTGTACTGCGATTCTGTGTGTCTGTGTTCGGCCGCGTTTGCCACGCAGCGCGCTTTGGAGTCGCATTCCAGAGACAAGCATGGAATTCGTACGCCCTTGCGTGAATTCATTTCTTCGATTTGCCCGTGTTGCGGCGTGGACTTCCGAAGCCGCATGCGCTGCATCACGCACCTTTGCGATAAACGTCGCCCCCGTTGTGCAGATTTCTTCAAGACGCATTGCAAGCGGCTCCCTCCAAAGGAGGTGGAGCGCCTCGATGCTCTCGATAAGGTGGCCCGCCGTGACGCCCAGCGTCAAGGCCACTCCCACGTCATCGCAGCCCTCCCTGCCGTGAGACCTGGTTGAACCCAGCCGTGTTTCCGGTAGCGCGCCTGCGCCGCCGTGATGTACTGCCCTTGAGACCCCCAGCCCTCAGCGAACAATATATATATATATAGACATACCATATATAGACATACATACACATACGAACACATACATATATACATATATATGTGATATATGTATGTATACGCGTGTATGCACATATGGATGTGTACATGTGTACACCTACGCATACAAATATATATATGTATATATATACATGTCATGTATGTACATGCATGTGTGCATGCATGCATGCATGCATGCATGCATACGTACATACTATGTATACATGTGCATAAGCTATACGCATATACGCACATGTTCCTACACATATACCTCTATATGTGTACACACACGTCTTCATATAAACATACGCATGCACAAATACATAGACATATACACATACATACACGTATGCATAAACACCCGCATACATATATGCATATGTATATGTGCATCTACATATGCGTACACCTACTCATGTTCACATACATATACACATACAACTATATATGCATATGCATACACATATACATGTGTAATTGCATGTCTACTCACATATACAGATGCAATTGTAAACACGTGCACCTACAGAATTACGCATACACATGTCGTTAAATGTAGACGTGTAGGTACACACATACATACATATAATGTATGTATACGTATGCATGGACGTGTACAACTACATAACCATATACATATACATGTACGTATGCATGTACATATACATAGACATATACATGTGCATATACATCTACATACGCATATCCACATACGCATATATAAACATGTACGTGTGTAACTATATGCATATATGTACAAACACGTACATCTATATACATATACAGATATATGCATGCATATATACACGCGTACGTATACATATGAAGACATGTATGTATGCACACGTGCATACACACATGTATACATATATTAGAACCACGCGCGCGCTTCGCGCGCTTAGGTTCTAGTAAGCATCGACCCTTGGCAAGTTCACTGCTGCGTGCATGTACTTATGCTGTTCACAGCTGGTCGCAACACCTTGACAAATTCACAACTTTAGGGCTGCCTCCTAGATTGTGCGAGCCGTTCAATGCGTTCTCGCCGCCCTCGCTGTCACTGCAATGGCCGCTGTCGCCGCCGTCGCTGTACCCGTCGTCGTCGTCGCCGTTGTCGACGGCATCAACATCGAAATCTTTGGAGGCTTCCCCAGATGTTACGTGTATGCATTGTCCCTGTCCCCTCCTAACTCCCCCTCCTCCTCCTCCAGGAACCCACTGGGCTACGATTCGAGCGGAGTTGCAGGAGGAATGCATTGAGCAGCTTGCAGGAGTTCGTTAGTTTCTCGCGCCGTGTCGCTGCAATGCTCGTAGCGCGCGTTTCGCGCGCGCGTAGGTTCTAGCACGCCCCAGTCCGTGGCCAGCTCACAGCTGCACTCACCACAATTGCATTGAATATTAGCCCCAGAAAATGCAAGGCCGCTGATCCAACAAAGCCGAGTCGACAACACGGGTACACCCGACAAATGTTAAACGGATATGTGCAAAACCGGGTGTCCTTTTGGGGCGCCTGTCGAGGACACCGCGAAAGCCTCTCGAGCTACCCATGGGTGTTGGGGCTCCCCGGGGCCGTCTTGAAGTCTCTTCTGACCCACGGGAAAGCTCTGGGGACTTCCTCAAGAACATGGTGGGTCGTCTTCGCGGGGCTCCTGTGGGGCATCTCTGGATCTTCTGGGGGAGCTCTTCGGTGCACATTGAACGCCTAGTTGGTGGTTATTGGTGGCCCCTTCGGGGCGCTTCTGGGGCCTCAGCTCTCCTGGTGCCCTCCTCGGCTGTGTCAGAGCGTTCGTCGCCCGACGCCTTTCAGACGGCCCAAGACGGCCCCAGAGGCCTCCAAGAGGCCTCCAAGACGGCCCAAGAGGCCTCCAAGAGGTCCCCCACGAGAGCCCGACGAGGTCAAAATCCATGCTGTCCTGTTAAGTTGTTTGAAGGATGCTGGCGTTTGTTTTGTTCGAGCCTTCCGACGGCTCACGACGGCCGAGGGAGCCCGCCCAAGAGGCCTCCAAGATGGCCCCATGACTGCCCAAGAGGCCCCGAAGACGGCCCCAAGAGGGCGCCAAGACGGCTCCAGAGGCCTCCACGACGCCCAAGACGGTCTCCAAGACGGCCAAGATGGCCTCCAAGATGCTTCCAACACGGTCAAGATGAGCTTCAAGACGGCCAAGATGACCGCTAAGACGGCCAAGATTGCCTAAGATGGGCCCGAGAGGTTCCAATATTGCCCCAGAGGAGTTCAAGAGGTGCTCCAGGAAGGCCCGAAGGAGCCACAATCTTAAATGTCCTCAGGTTGTGTAAGGATTGTTGTGTTCCTCGGTTTGGGTGCTCCAACCGCCTAAGACGGCTCAAGGAGCCCCCAAATTAGTCTCAGAGGCCCCCCAGATGGCTCCAGAACGGCCCAAGAGGCCTTCAAGCTAGCCCCGAGAAGGCCCCAAGACGGCCCAAGGGGTCTCAAAAACGGCCGAGATGGTCCCCAAGATACCTCAAAACTGCCAAGATGACCTCCAAGACAACCAAGATAGCATCCAAAACGGCAGAACTATCCCCAAGAGAGCCGAAGGTGGCCCAAGGGGCGCCCAAGATGCCCCCAAGACAACCCAAGAGGCCCCCAAGATGGCGCCAGAACGGCCCATGAGGCCCCCATGACCGCCCCCAGGAGGGCCCCGTGACGGACCAAGATGCCTGAAAGACATCAAAGATTGCCTCCAAGACGGCTCTGGCGCCCCAAGAGGGCCTCCAGCCGGCCGAGAGAAGCCCCCAAGACGGCGTCCGATGGCGTCAGGCGGGCCAGGAGGCCACCCAAACTGCCCAAGATGGCTCTCAGACGGCCTAAGACGGACCAAGAGGCCCCCAAGAGGCCCCCAAGAGGCGCCCAAGACGGCCCAAGAGGCCTCCAAGAGGGCGCCCAGGAAGGCCTGAAGATGCCAAAAGTCAATGTTGTTCCGTTGGTATTTGAAAGATGTTGGCATGTGCTTCTCTTGTGTTCCAACGGCCCGAGATGGCCCAAGAGCCTCGAAATAATCGCCCGAGAGAATCCCAAGATGGCCCCAGAACGGCCCAATATGGCCCCAAGGCGGCTCCAAGAGGGCCCCCAGACGGCCAAACAAGCCTCCAAGACGCCCAAGATGTGCTCATTCTTTTTTTCCAGAGGAATACTGAGGCGAAGGCGACGCGCCGGGGGGGCAAGAGCCCCACACAACCAGCAGAGAAACGCAGCAATTGAAGAGGCTTTGGGCTGCCGTGGGCAGAAGCGATGGCTACAGAGTGAAATCAAGCGGACGTACGTAATGAACAACACCGTGCACTACTATGTTCATTCCTTTTTCCAGAAGAGTGCTGAAGCGAAGGCGACGCGCCGGGCGGGCAGGAGTCCCACACAACCCACCTTCATGAACTAATAACCCGCCTCCACGCAATGCACTGATCTACCGCATCAAATTCCAAAGTCGTTTGGCCCGAAGAGACAGGTAACTGCGCGAGAACTCACGGGCGAGCACTGAACAGAGCCGCGGCGGGCAGGCAGCTTTCAAACGAGTCAGGAAACCAGCTTTGCAGCTTTGGAAGTACCAGTCAGGACGATGTGAGGCTTTCCTGGAAACGTGCAGAGTCCTCGGCCCTTGCACTGCCATGAATACAATTCGGGGGGGCACTGCTGCGCTGGCGAGAGCCACGCGGGCGCGGGCTCGAAAGGGGCGGCCTGCACCGCAGTAGTCAAACGCGATTACATTGACATTGGAGTGGGCACAGAAGCGCTTGCGACTGGGCAAGAGCCACAGCAGGCTGGAGGCAGGATTACCCCCCCCTGCGGGCAGCTGCCGCGCGAGGGCCATTCGTAACAAGATTGCAATTATGTCCGAAAGCCTGTTGGAATCTAGGACTGCCTGATAGTCGGCGCCCTCCAGTCCAGGGAGGCCCCTAAGGTGGTCCTTGGTCCGAAGACCGCGAGGCATGACACTGCGAGGGGGCGCACGGCGGGCCTGCGACCATTTTTCGCAGGGGCTGCCTGGAAAAACGCCCCAGATGATACAAGTCGCACTCGGGGCCAAGCAGCAGAGCGATTGATACTACAGCATGGCCTCGTTTCTGTAGCTCGGCGGCGAGCCCGCCGGCCCCGGAAAAGAGGTCGAGAAATGCACGTCGCCACCGAGTCTGCCTGCGCGGAGGGCTGCGCGAAGGCGTTGCCGAAGAGCCGCGGGGCGGCTGCCGCCCACCGCTCGCAGTCGCCCTCCTAGGCGCTGCTGAGGTTGCGCCACACCGGCGCCAGCCGCCCCGCTTTGTCGCATCTCCTGGCCGACGAGGCGGCGCGCCACATTCCGCGCCGCTGGACCTCCAACAGCGAGCGGCAGCCTTCTGCGCGATCGCGAGTCGCGCCCCCGCGCCTCAGACAGCGCGGCGCGAAGCCCAAATCGCCGAGCTTGAGGTGCTGAGAGGCAGCGTGGAAGTCGGCTAGGAGCTGCGAGTAGGTGAGGCGAAACAATGGCTCGTCCTCGCGCAGCAGGGACTGAAGGCGTAGAGCGGCACGTCCAATCCAGTGATGTCGGGGTAGATCGAAAGCCACTGTGGAATCGAACTCGCCCGTCTTGGAGCTGACTGCCAGCTCCTCTGGATGCAGGATTCGCAGCGGGCATCGCAGGACGCCCACACCTCTGCCAGATCCCGCCACCAGCTGCTTGGCAAGCAAGGTCGTGGCCTCCGACGGGCGCAGGTAGCACCCGAACATCGCCAGGATGCAGAGCCCGGAGTCTGGCTTCCCCAGCGTGGCCAACACGGCCGCGAACACTAGTGCCAGCACTCGAAGTAGCTGGTCCAGCCGGCCAGCGACGAGTGGGCCGAGGGGAATAGCCGCCGCACGGGCCTCCCAGCGCTGGCCCCCCCCCCCACGCACACACACGCCACAGCGCAGAGGGCG